ATTTTAAACAGTTAAAGCAATCGCTGGATACGAATTACTTCCAATCAGGGAGGTGCTGAGGTCACAATTTGAATCCAAAAAACCATCTCCAGAATGGCGCGCAAGCAGGCTATGCGAGCAAGATGGATGTTTAGGTGACAAGAATGCCAATCGTAGAAGGAGCCTCCATGCGCACAAAAACCATCCACAGCATTTTCCTTTTGGAATGCCTACATTAGTGGAAGAACCCACATACATGCCTAAGCCGCTACCTAAGGAGTGTAGATAAGCTTTTCACAGCAGAATGAGTATGGAGGAGGGTACGTACCGACACACATGTACTAGCAAGCGATTACCATTGACTGAACGCGTTAGATTGCAACCAGACGTTCTTGTGTGACTACTATTGATATCAACTCCATACAAAAGCATGCGCAGTCTCGTAGTAATCGGTCATCTAAGTAAGTAGCTACTGGGATGTCGGGTTAAGTATGCTCCTCATGGTATGGTATTTTACCTCAGCACTTTGCTGGGGACTCTCTCTTATCGTTCTTGTTCCAGCTTCATTTCAGCTGTAAGGGAGTGCGACGGGATACAGCTTACAATTCAGCTTACAGCTTTACAATTAGCAGGCTTATTCTAGAAAATAATCAATAACTGCTCACTTATTTGGAAATACAAACTTTACATCTCTTAGATCGTTAGATTAATCAATCCACAATGGTATTGTCGCACTATGGCGGGATTCGGGGTATGCCTTTGGAGGACTCTTGACAGGGTGGATTGCCGATGCTTCCGGCGGCAGTTTTGTCACTACCGCTACCGTTGTGGCCTGTCTGGTAATGGCACTGGTATTGTGCATTCTACGGTTCTATAAGGAGATTGCTCGGTGAGGTACACGTGTACTGCATAGCACATGCATGCTTTATGGGGTCAAGTCCTTTCGACGTCATTGAAAGAAGCACCTGTGGCTTAGCCAAACAATAACAAGACCTGAAAGTTAAAATTCCAATCACTCTTTGAGTCTCCCCTTCATTCAGAGAAATGGAAGACACAACAAGTGCAAAAGACAACACTGTTTTAAAAGTCCTCCCTATCAACAACCGAAACAGCTCCCACTAAGCTGTTGGCAGAACCCAAGAATCCTCGGGATCAATTGCTACGATTGTTCGCCAGCGATCGCTTCAATCAGTTCTGTTGGTCCCAGACGCCCAGACGAGATATCAATCCATGAGACAATCAGCATTACTTTCACCTGGAGGTAGCCTAGAGATCGTAGTGCAGTATTGTTCTGCTTCAAGCACGTTAAACCAGTTTGCCTCCAACGCCAAGAACATAGAATAAGGGAGTAGAGTCGGATACCTCAAAGATGAATTTTCGAGGCTAATGAAATAACACGCGCACGAGGTTGAAAAATGAGAAACTTTTGGAGATGAAAAGCACTGAATCTGGTATCTGGTCGACAAGAAAGTTATATTGTAGTTTCTTCTACGTCTACGTCTTCGTCTTCGCCCACTGCTTGTTCCCCAGGATCTTCCTTGTTGTCATTGTCGTCGTCATTGCCTTGACCGCCACTAGGTTGTCCTTCGCTGACCTCCTCTGCTTCGTTTTCTTCTGATTGTTCGTTGTCATTGTCGTCGTCATTGCCTTGACCAACACTAGGTTGTTCTTCACTGGCATCCTCTGCTTCATTTGCTTCCCCCGCTGCAGGTTGTTGGTCTGTAACTTTTACCTTGTTGTCATTGTCGTCGTCATTGCCTTGACCAACACTAGGTTGTTCTTCACTGGCATCCTCTGCTGCATTTTCTTCCCCCGCTGCAGGTTGTTGGTCTGTAACTTCTTTCTTGTCGTCACCGCCATTGTCGTCCTGAGCACTATCTTTACTGGGATCCTCTACTTCTATTGCTGTGGTTGTTTGATCGCCTTCTCCTTCTTTGTCGTTGTCATCATCGTCCTGAGCAACCCCGGTTTCTTCTTCACTGGGCTTGTCGTCTGCTGTTGTTGACTTTTCTTGTTCATCTTGTTGCTGATTTTCTTCGGTCACCACATCCTGCTCCGTCGCTTCAGCGTCATCAAATTGATCAGTGTCCTCAGGCTCTTCTTGTTCGTCTTTCTCCTCTTTTTCAGTGTTGTCTTCTTTACTGTTGTCATTGTTGTTGTTGTTGTCTTGGTCTGTATTCCCAGGTTCTGCTTCCTGGTCTCTGTCCTTTTCTTCCATTTTGTCTTCTTTACTGTTGTCCTGAGCTCCGCTACTATGTTCTTTTGCGCTGGAATCCTCTTCTTCTTTTTCTAGGTCTTCTTTTGCTGCTGTTGCTTTTGGATCAATTCCTTGGTCGGAATTCGTAGACCCTTCTACCTCCATTTTGTCTTTCTCATTGTTGTCGTTTCCGTTGTTGTTGTTGTTGTCCTGAGCATCGCTACTAGGTTCTTTTGGTACTATTGGATCCTCTCCTTGACCAGTATTCGTATCCTCCATGTTGTCTGTTTCTGTATTGTTGTTGGCTTCTGTGTCGGTGGTTGTTGTGGCAGGTTCCTCAAATCTAGCACGTTTAGTGGGTGGTTCCTCCGATTCTTCTTCCTGTGTGGCTTCTGCTGTTACTGTGTCTTTTGTTGTGTCATTTTCCTCCTCCTTTGGTTCCATCGATATATCGTTGTCCACGTTGGCAGCTTCTGTGTTGTTGGCAGTTTCTGTATCATTGTTGGCTTCAATTTCTGTGCTTTTGGGTGGCTCCTCAAATCTGGCCTTCTTTTTGGGTGGTTCCTCGGATTCTTTTTCTTCAGCATCTTGTGTATCTGTGTCTCTTGATGCCTCCATTTCCCCTTGCATCAATTCTGTCAATGCTTCCTTGTCTGTATTTTCCATAATAGTGTCCTTGGTTTCCTCCTTGTCCCCTTCCTCATCTTGTTGTGCCATGACAACATCTCCCTTTGCTTCTGCCTCGGATGATTGTAAATTGTTTTCATCACCAACAGCACCCACCGTCTCCTTTCTCTTGGCAGCCTCGGCCTTGACCGCCTCGACTGCTTGTTGGGCTGCTGCGGCGGCCATGGCGGCCACTAGTAATTCCTTTTCTTTTTGTTGTCGTGCCACTTTCTCTTCTTGTTTTCGATTGTAGTCGAGTGCTTCTGCCGGCGTCAACGCCTCGATGGGAACCCATGTTGGAATGGTAAATCCGACTCCCATGGCCGGAGGTCGTTGGACTTGGGTCCATTTTCGTGTTACGGTGTCGGTAGCAATGGGAGTACGTTTGTTCTTATTATTATTGCGACTACTACTCCCCCGTGCTGCCAAGGATTGTCCCGTTCGTTGTTGGGTGGCCGTCCGCGTACTGCGACTCCGGCGACTGGCAGCAGAAGTAGCAGCACTGCGGCTGCT